TTTCCATTAGGCCACTCATAGGCTCCTCACTGCTACCTAATCGCTCTCAAAGTATCTCATATTAGCAATAACCTCCTAGGCTAAGGCATCGCAAATCAGGCCACTCTAGTCCTAGATATGAATACCTAGCCTACTCTAGCATTCATAACATATCAAATAATATCTCATAGCACATAATGTAAAGGTATTTTGGGAAATCACCGTTCGGGAGCTGGCTGATCGTACACACTGCTTCTTTCTGCTTTTCTCAAAGTCTTTTAATCTTTAGAAAATTTGTTCCTTTTTATGAAAAACATTCTCAAATCTTCAGTTTGAGTTCAAACATGCCCGGAAGTGCATCCGAATCCCTCAAACCAAGGCTTTGATATCAACTTGTAACGACGTGAAAAGTTACAACAATTTTTCATTTTTCAAACAACAGAAAACTGATTTAATATTCTCAAATCTCATGTTCAAATGATGTCATCATAATAAAACATATCCCAAGATCACAAAATACAATCCTCTGTCAGTGTGTATGGATCATACCGGCGCCTTCCTGCGATCCTCGCTAGTACCTGAAACACATAACACATAACACTGTAAGCATAAATGCTTAGTGAGTTCCCCAAAATACCACATAAAACACATATTATCCACTCGAGGCTGTAACTCTGTATGACCCTCTAGTCAAAGTGTCTCAGTGGGACCCTCCAGTCCCATAACTTTGTGGACCCTCTGGTCCTAAGTTTGTGGACCTTCCGGTCCTAACTTTGTAAACTCTGAATCATACATAGCACAAATCACATAGAAATCACATCATACAAAAAGCATAAAAGATAATCTATCACATAACTCTAATTACCACTCTAGGTAACGTATATTTAGAAGACTCACCTCGGGAAATCTCGGAAACTCTCGAACTCGAAATTCTGATCAAGCCTCCGCCTAATCACATAAAGTATTTTACTTCTAATTAACCATGATTCTCAAAAACTAGACTAGACCCTTTCTATAATCTCTCAGAAGGGGGAAAAGACCATTTTACCCCTTCAATAGTCCAAATTTCAAAATGTTGACCAAACCTTAAAAGTCAACGAAAGTCAACAGGGGGCAGTACGCGACACGTACCAGCTCTTGTACACAGGGCGTACTCCGGTGATCCAGAATTGGGGTCTCAAACCCTTATGCGGTGCGTTTTGGGATTTACGCCGAGCGTAAGTCCCAGTTTCATGCTCTAATTGATTTTTGGTCTTAAATGGTTAAGACATAAGCTCAAATTCCAGATCATACTATTCTAAGGCCGCTTAATCAACAAAGTCGAAAACTTTAAGCCTTTCCATGGCTGTAAAGGTCTCCAATCACTCTATACACCTTTCCTCTTTCCTCATTAAGCATATAACTCATGAATGACTTAATGTTCATGTCCAAGATTGGAGTTTTATGAACCTACAACAAATATTACACCGGAAAAGGGCAAATCTAAGCTTATGGAGACCCTTTGCTCATAAAGTATCCACCTTGGAACCAGAAAACCTAAAAATGGTTCCATAAAGCACAAATCAACAATGGAAAGGAAAGCTTTGAGCTTTTTACCTCCAAATGAAGCTCCAACCTCTATAGAAGTCGGATCTAAGATTGTCCTCCAATTTCTAGCTCCCACAATGGCCTTCTCTTCTCATTCACCAACACAAAATGGTATTTTCAAGCTTAAGAACACATACACAAGCTTATAACGGGTTTTTGCTCTCTTAGGGTTTCACTCACTGCAATATGGTGGCTGGGGTAAGGGCCTTATCATTCCTTTTATAGCCCTCAAGTCTCATTTAGGGTTTTGCATCTGAGCCAGTTACGCCCAACGTAACTTTGGTATGCCCCGCGTACCAAATTGAGTTTGCATCTAATTTAAGCGCATGAGTACGCGCAACGTACACTTCGGTACTCCCACCGTATTCATTTGCAACATTTTCCTATCAAGGGCTAAACTTGACAACTTGGTAAAGAAGAAGGTTTAAATGGTTGTACCTAAATTTCGGGATGTTACAATGGGAAAAGGTGATATTTTATTTTCTTTGCATATATTAACGGAATAAGTTATGTATTCATTTAGTCAAAAGTAATTAGTTAGAATTGTGGTGCTTCTTAATACATTTGCGTGCATATAAATGTCACTAAAAATGGAATTGAAACGAAGATGTTATGATTGTTTGAAGTTGGAATGGAATATGGGAATCTTGTTACCACGATGTGGTGAGCTGTGCAACCCAAACCCACAAAATTAGGGTTTTGCTTCGTATTTAAAGGCATTGTTCCATATTTTAGGTTATTTTTCAGCCTCCTCCCTTTGCATAGATCGAGTTTCTACTCTCTCCTCTCATCCATTTTTATGTTATGTTTTTTGGCTTTTGAGTGTTGTATTCTCTAAACACATGGCAGTGAAGCTTGATTCTAGAAGATCTCAACCCTCATTCACCTTCTGGACCCTTGTAAGTCGCAAAGTCCTTGCTTTTTGGTATTTTTGTCTTCGGATCTAAGAGTTTTTTTTGAATTTTAGTGCTTTATTTGATGTTTTGGTTGTAGGTTTCCATTTTATTGATTGGATTGGTGTGGAATAATAATATCAGAAAGATAATCTGATGAATAAATGAAGAACATAATATGTTAGTAAATTGTAATTGATAGATAGAGAGATACAACATGATACATGAACAAAACTCATGGATAGGGAGAATCCCCACCCAAAATTCTCTCTACAATCTATATCTATATAGTGAACACATACATCAAATGATAGCTACTTATTCTAAAGCTCTGTATTATCAAAATCCATGTTCAACTCATTCTTTGTTCCTCTTTCATGGCTGTCTCAAGCTGCATCAACAGCTACTTATTCTAAAGCTTTGGATGCAGTTTTGTTTAATCTTGTGACTGATAAGAAGGTTATACTATCAAAGAAACTTTTCTTTCAAATTTTTGATATACCAAATTCTCCGCTATACGTCACTTTTACATTGCCAAAAATTGTTCACATGTTCAATGAAATGGGTCATCAACCCCAGTTGGCAAAGATAAGTGATTTCATGAAGTTAGGACTTCCGAGTGTTTGGAATTTTCTATTCGGCATTTTTCTCAGATGTTTAACTGGAAGAACTGTTGGGTTGGACAAGAGGAGGACGGAAGTTTATGCGATGGTCGCAGGTTTATACTATGATCTTCAGGTTGATTATTCTACTCAATTATGGAAGGAGTTCTTGAAGAGTATAGAGAACACGAATGCTCTTCATGGCATTTTGTGTGCTCGATATTAGAGTTTGATTTTGAAATATTTTTATGAGAAGGAAGGGATTTTGGTTCCGACAGATGAAGAAAAGTATGTCTTTCATGTTTATAGTTCTCTGAAGGATGCAACTGATGATACTGATGAACTTCCAATTGTTTCTCGCATTCCTGATGCTATGCTGAAAAGAGTTGATCCCACCAACACAGTTCTAATCACTTACTTACAAACCATCGATACTTCTGTTGAAACCGTGGTTCTTTTGGCTATAGAAGAAGAAAAGAAGACTAAATGTTCAAAGAAGGTTGCTGCTGAATCTTCTGAGAAATCTGTGAAAAAATCTAAATCCACAAAGAGTCCGAAGAAATTACCAACTACAGAAGCCGAGCCAATCCAACCAGAAGTTGTTGTTGATACACCATCGAATCAAAAGGAAATCATTCTTTCGAAGACTGGTGTTTTTTTTTGAAGAGTTAAGATGATGTCAAAACATAAGAGGCGATCAGCTTTAACGAATGTTGTTCGCAAACCACAAGTTTCGCATCAAGGAGTTATCTTTCGTGATATTCCTGCCCCTGCTTCACCATCTTCTAAGAAGAGAAGAGCAACTGATATGGCTAAACACATATCGAATAAGAAGAAGAAGAGTAGGGTGATTATTTCATCATAGTCTACTACTGATGAAAATGAAATAATTCCAGAACACCGGAAACTGATCTTCAGAAAGATTCTTCTCATATTGCATCAACTGTTGTAATACCACCCGAAGTTTCGGTTGCCAAGATAGTTTTTGTGGAGGCATGAACTTCTGACATTTTTGTAAACATATCTGATATGGATGCAAATGTCACAATGGGTGAGGATGCTTCGCACACTGGAGACAAAGGTAAACCTTCGGATGTTACCCCAGATAATATTATTTCTTTACCTCCACAGCTCACACTTGTGATTCCTTCTACATCCACAATTGATTCTCCTACCTTTGAAAACATCATCAAGCAACCAATCACATCTCTTTTTTCTTCACAATCCACTGATCCATGTACCACCACTTCACCAATTCAAGATTCTTCTTTCATGGAAACTGAACATGAGTCCGAAGGTTTTGGAGAGACATTTGAAAATCTAGAATTTGATGAAGAAGAGACTGACTTCCCAGATCACATGCTCATGAAAATGAAACATTTCAAGATATTGAATACAAACTCAATTCAATTCTTCAGTCTCAGGCTGCTCTTGGGGGAGGCAATTCAGTGACCAGTCTCAGGCTTAGATGGAATAGTATCTCCATATTCTTCATTTATTTTTGCTCCAAGTGCTTGTGTGCATTTAATAAATATATAGTTATATACCTCATATCCTGGTATAGAACCAGAAACGCAAACACGACATTCACTAGAAAAATGCCAAACTGAAAAAAAGGATAAGATAAATCTTCTTTTAACTTGAGGTTTATAAGGAATTTTTATAAATTTGTAATGAATATACAAGCTACATACAAGAACTTATGGTTTATGTGGAAAGTATTCTAGAAATGATGTTGAATACGAAATGTCTATTCATTTAAAAAATTTTAATCAATTGAAATTGTAAATGAAAAAATATAAAAAGAAATTAAATTTACTAAACATAAAACCTAACATACCTCCCAATTTGGGGCATCTGATACTTGAGAGATTGACTCTTCTTTCAGCAGCTGGACTCCCGAATGGTAGTGAATCATTAGCAACAACAATGAGATAGTTTAAAGACAAACCTTTCTAGTGAAGTTATCTGATATGGCCTTGGAATTAGTAGTTGCAGGAACATAGTTTGTCCAAAGCCTCAACTTAGTCTTCTTTGCTAGAAGGTTTGCAGCTTTTAACTTCCTCCTGGCTTCATCTTCCATAATACACGCACTCCACTCAACATATTTTGCATATCCCTAATTAAAAAAACAATATTTTATAAAAAAAGTTGTAAGAAAGTAGGTTGTCATTTTAAAACATAACATACGATTTTAATAAGCTCCATTGCCAGATCCTTTGCTGATTCTCCATCAGAGTAATATAAAGAACCAATCAGATTGCTAAACTTGTCAACGCCCTCAAGAACAATCCATACATGTTCAATAATAAACATTGAAATAATCAAATTCAATGTCTTTTATGTCAACTTAATAAGGGGAAATTGCAAGAAATAGAGAAAATAAGATATTACTCACATCTCTGTTTTGAACACGGATCTCGGTAAAATGTTTAGCTTCCCTCCCATAAGGACCAGGGGACACTTCATTGAAGCCTGATGAGGCTAAGATTCTTTCGGTTGATGTTAAGGGCCTACGTGATTCTGAATTATTATTTTCTCCATTTGTCTCTTCGGATGGGACCTCAATTGGTATTGTAGGTTCTCGTGTTGTACTTCTCCCCATTGATGGTGCCTAGTAAACAATTAGATAAATTAGAATTAAATATATAATTAAATTGATTAATAATGAAAATATGTAATTTTATAAAATAAACTTTAATTAAATACAAATATATCGTTAAATAGATATTTATAATTTAAAAAGATATCTGCAGAAAAGGATGCATGTGGTACCTAGATTTTAGCAACAAATACTTGGACAATCTGAAAATCTGGAAGCAAATAAACACGAAGTGAACTTCCATCACGAACTTTTTCTACAGTGGCTTCCATGGCTAAGAGGCCCATGGCATCAAGATTGTTGGGATCGCCAATCGCAGATTGAGGAAAGTTCCTGATTGCTCCCTCCACAGCACCCGGTGAGTAAAAGCCAACAACAAAATGACACATCATCAACATGCAACAATACAACGAAAACCAGAAAGACAAAATATAATATTAGTACAAATTTATAGAAAAAAGGTAGGAGATAAATATTTCAGAAACTATTTTTTTGCAAATTAAAATACCTGAAGAAGGATCTGTGTCATGCTCCAATGAAAACCAGACATAACAACAACAAGCATGATAAATATAAAACCCCAAAATTCAAATGGAGTCTCTTTTGCAACTGCAAAAGTATATATATATATATATATATATATATATATATATATATATATATATATATATATATATATATATATATATATATATATATATATATATATATATATATATAAGCAATCTACAAAACATAATACGAACTTGTACAATGGATTATTATTTATTATACCTGTTAATAAAACCCCGATAGATATTATTAAAATAATGCCTAAAAGTTTGACACTTGAAGTCTCCAACCTACACAGTAAATCACAACAGATACTATTAAAATAATGCCTAAAATAAGAACTTGTTCAAAAATAAGAGAACCCTAAATTGAAGTAAATAATATAGGAGATGCGGATTTCCACTGCAAACAAAGAAAAAGATTTAAATTTAACAAAAAAGGTAACTTTGACTAATATGAAAGGTGAGAGTTGACCAACCATGGTGTCAAATGTAACAGAGATGAAAACAAGGGATGCATTACTGAAGTTGATATCCAGAGCTGTTGCAAGAGACGTGGGTACAACTGTGAAATTCAAACTCCATCTGTAGCATTAGTTATTATTTATTAGAAAAGTTAATAAAAAGTAACAACATGTATGAAGAACAGTAATTACTAACTAACCCTATCCCATAAACCAACTCCTTGTTATCTGGCTTGTTCTTGAAGGCGTAGGATAAAAAAGTTTGAAGTAATCATCAAAATCAACCTTCATTATTACTAAAGAATGAGTGTTTAAGATGAGTAGGTTAAAAAGACTTATTACTAAAGAATGAATTTGATTGCTTACCATATAATATTTTTGCACTTTGTTGAGCCTTACATCAATATGTTTAGTAAATTACCTGCAGAGTAATTTGGTATTGAGTGTTTAAGATTATTAAGATAAAAACACTTATTACTAAAGAATAAATTTGATTGCTTACCATATAATATCATCATCATGTGAGAGCAGTACCTACCATGACTGGCCTTACGCGTTTAGGAACTTTTCTTATGTACTCAAATATATAATAAAGCAAAGATGCTAAATATGTATAATAGTCATTGTATGTATGCATGTATGTATGTAGGTATGTATGTACCTCTTTGCTCCTCTCATGACCCACAAGATGACCATCCTTGCAAGTAGAAATAGTTTTTGTGCAAGTTTTCTTGAATGAGATACATGCAGCATAAACATGAGCATCATGATTCATGATGATACTCAACTTTGTGTTATAAAAAAAGGTAATACATATGGTGTCCATTTAACACACCTTTCATGATATTTATACTTCTCCATAGGTGGATCGGGTGTTTGAAAGTAAGATATTGTTGATTCATAACGTTTCCCAGTTGAAAGCATGTTTCCTAATTTCAAAGGCTTTGTGGAAGCAAGCCCACTGCTTGTTGCAATTGATAAAACTGAGTACCATCTGCCATTTGTATTCCTCTCTCCACTCTGTTCATGTCAAGTATATCAAGATAGATGTAATTTAGCATAATACAAAAAGTTCAAACCCTGGATAAGATAAACACACAAAAAATTCATAGGACCATAACATATTCTCGAATTTATGCTCAAAATATTAAATGTGAGTATATGTGTGAGGTGCTATGTGTGGCTGCTAACAATGTATCAGAATGGGATCGAGAATCAGAAAAGTATGGGGAAGGATATCGCACTTATGAAATAAATCAAGAAGAATTAAAATAAGGGAGAAGGAACAAAGCATACCTAAGATCCTTAGAGAGTAGAAGTGAGGATCGTGGAATGAGGAGGAAATCGTCATTGAAACTTGCATAATTTTTCAGTTCGGGTTTTACACGGGAGAAGATGAGAGGATCCAAAATTGAAATCAAAGTTATGAATAGAGGAGAAATTAAAGAAATAGAAGAATGAAAACATTAGGAAGAGAGAAAAACCAAAGCATATCTTAGCCGGGCTAGGGTGTGGAAATTTGAGCAGCCTCCGACGAGGTCACATGAGCCCGAGGTCGCCGATGGAAAATACCCCTAAGGTCGTTGGAGGAAAATCACACTTAGAGGATTTTGAGTACAGCTTCCTTGCCCGTAATGTTTCTAGAACTTGTCTCAACTGCCGACTATGTTCTTCCTTGCTTCGTGAATAGATAAGTATATCATCTATGAATACTATCACAAATTTGTCTAGAAAAGGACAACACAACCGATTCATTAAGTCCATGAACACAGCGGGTGTATTTTTCAGACCGAAGGGTATCACTACAAACTCGTAGTGACCGTAACAAATTCGGAATACTGTCTTGGGAATATCATTCTCTTGGACTTGATCTCAGGTCTATCTTTGAAAAGTAGCTCACTCCTTGGAGTTGGTCGAACAAATCGTCTATTCTGGATAGAGGGTAGCGATTCTTAATGGTGAGCTTGTTTAGTTCACGGTAGTTTATGCACATTCGGAAAGACCCATCCTGTTTCTTCACGAACAAGACCGGTGCTCCCCAGGGTGAGGAGCTTGGTTTGATGAATCCCTTACTGAGCAGTTCGTTTAGTTGGCTGGGTAATTCCTGCATCTCTGTTGGTGCTAGACGATACGAGCATTTGGCTACAAGGGTAGCTCCTGGAATCAAATTGATTCGGAACTCGACTTGGCGTTTAGGGGGGGGGGGGGGGTCTCCTCGAAGATCTTCGGGGAAGATATCAGGAAAGTTGCAGATTTTGGGGATGCTCTCGAGGTCTTTAACTTCTTGTATTTCATTAACCAAATGAGCTTGGAATGTGTGACAGCTCTCGACTTGGCCTTTAATGCACGAAATGATGCGAAGGTTCATACTGAGTTTGTTGCCACAGATAACGAGGGCTTCGCCATTTGGTAGATTGAGGTGTATGGATTTTTTTAACAAAGGATTTCAACACGATGCGGACTTAACCAATCCATGTTGATGATGACATCGAAGGTTTTTATGGAGACTGGCATAAGGTCAAATTGGAAAGGAATAGTCAATTCGAGTTAGGGTACAACCTATGAATAAGCTGTTAGTGCTCTCTTTCTTCCCGTTAGCCATTTGGATAGTGAATGTTTCGTTTAGTGGTTGGGAATTTCATTTTAGTAAATGTTTGAATTTATGACTAACAAAACTCCTCTCCGCACCACAATCAAAGAGAATGCATGCAACAGAGTTGGCGATGAATAACGTACGTCTGACTACGGTGGGATCTGCTACTTCCTCCTCATGGACCGTGGCTTGCACTCTCCCTGTTTTGCCAGCTGCTCTTGCCTTAGGTAAATTCCTCTTTTAGTTCCCGGTTTCACCACACCCATAGCTGGCCTGGCCTATTCTAGCTACGGGGGTCCGACCATTAGGTTGTGTAGGTGTCTTACATAAATGGACTATATGCCCCTTCATGTTGCAACTAGTTCATTGCAACTCCCGACAAGTTTCGTGGTGATGGAAATTGCATTTGTCGCACCTCGGGAGAATTCTAGCATATCGGCTGGTAAGTGCTTGATTAGTGGGAACAGTAGCAGGAATGGTAGCAGTATGGACCGCCACAGTTTTCTGTTTCTTTGAGGGCTCTTGCGAACTTTGACCCTTTCGTTTGTTCTAGAATTTCTTTTTTACTGCCACTCTCCTTGGGTTGTTCAGGAATAACTGTCACGGAGTCTTGGCAATCTCCATGATCTATCAGCATCTGTGCCAGATGTTTGGCACTGTCAAAAGTAAGTGGGTGGGCAGCTAGGACATTTCCTTATGTCGGGGGCGTCAATCCCCATATGTTCCTTTCCATCTTCTTGATCTCCATGGTAACCATCCTGGGACACCGAAGAGCCAGGTCACTGAATCTAGTGATGTAAGCGGCGATATCAGAGCCCTTCATCTTCATACTCCAGAGCTCTTGCTCTAGTTTTTTCATCTTGCCACTCGGCCAGTATTCCGCTAACATTAGTTCTTTCAGATCATACCAACTCATAGCATTGGTTAGTCGGAGAGTAAGGACTTGACTTGGTTGTTCCACCAAGTAAGAGCTTTGTCTGTGAACATGAAAGCAACAAACTTCAATTTGCTAGACTCATGACACACATAGATATCGAATATTGATTCGGACTTCTCAAACCAACGCGTTAAGGCTATGACACTTCTAGTACCATCAAAGGATCGAGGGTTGGCATTGGTGAAATCCTTGTATGAAGACTCTGTCGGGTGTCCATGATTATCTTCCTGATTAGAAGGGTGGGCGCCACTACCGACCCCGCTAGTGCCACTCGCGTTTATTTGTGTCATGGTTGCTGCAATTGCAACAGTTACTGCTGCTTGGAACACAGCAGGGTTATACTGAGGAGGTGGTGGCGGTGGTGGATTGATATTCTTTCTGTTGGACTTCTTTCGAGGCATCTTTCTCTATATTGATTTAAGAGAAAATGATGATAATTCCTGTATAGTAGTTATGAGTCAAGTGATATTGGACAAGGTATATCTTATCCTAACAGTTATAGTGTTCTATTAAGTGATTTATAGTGGAAGTCTACTAATACAAGTAAACAATCGCCATGAAATTTAGAGCAACACTTCGAATGAATTTGTATAATGTGGTTTGTGCGTGATCCCCCTAGAATCACATGGCATACATAAATTATATATAACTAAAACTTAATAGACCTTCAACTAACTGATCCTACTCTAAGTCCACAACCAATAAAGTAACAAGAAGTAAAGCTAAATCACCTATTCCAAGTTTATAAAATCTTATTTATATATAACTTATATGTATACACTTAGCAATTATAGATCTCTCAGCAAGGGTTCTTTTTTTTCACATGTTTGGCTCCAATATTGTA